CCTCCTGCCTCAGCCTCCCAAGTGCTGGGATTACAGTCGTGCGCCACCACACCCGGCAAATAAAACACTTCAAAGGACTACCTTTTAAAAAAAATTCTTCCTGCAAATCAATAGCAAAATGGAATTTGGTTATAGCTCCGTTTTTATCACAGTGCCACTGTTCTAATAATTGGACATTCCTAAATTTCCTTCCATTAGAAATCTGAATAAAATACGATGCGGTCTTATTAAGGAAAATGTGCGACATAGCCAGTAATAACTATAATGTAGGGATATTTGCTAAGAAGCAAAAGGTTCCCAATTCGTTAAAAAAAGAAAAAGTTGAAAACTTTAAATTAAAAAATACAGGTATATAACAATGTAAGCATAATATAACCCTTTAAAATATTTATTCATTTATGTGTCTATTTAAATGGGAAAAATACACAAAATATAATGAGATTTAGGGAAGACACTTTAAACATTGCTATTAGTTACTAGTACAATAAAAACAATATGTTAAAAGTTTACAGAAGAAAAAAAAAGTTTACAGAAGGTCTAAACTGCCATATTAAAGACACTTCCTAGGGGCTGGGGATTGCTCAGTGGCACAGCGCCCTGGCAAGCACAAGGTCGTGAGCTCGATTCCTGGTACCGGCAGAAAAAAAAAAAAAAAAGACACAAGACACTTCCTAATATTTGGTAGTGGCTAACAAAACATTTGGAGAGTTTGCTTTGCAGTAATGGGTACTGAACCCAAGGGGAGATGAGCTACATCTCAGGCCATTTTTTATTTTGAGACAGGGTTTTGATAAATTGCTTAGGCTGGCTTCTACTTGCAGTCCTCCTGTCTCAGCCTCCAGCATAACTTACAGGCATGGCACGCTCCACCACACTCAGCTTCAAAATCTCTCTCTCTCTCTGTTTTGTGATATTAGGGATTGAACCCAGGGCCTCGGCACAGAGATAAATCCCCAGCCCTTTTTCAATTTTTTATTTTGAGACAGAGTCTTACTAAACTGCTCAGGCTGGGCTCCAACTTGTGATCCTCCTGCTTCAGCCTCTCAGAGTGCTGGGATCACAGGCATGGGTCACCACATCGGGCTAACATCTTATTATGAATCATTAAAATTTTTCTAGGCCTAAAGCTGTAACTCAGTGGTACAGTACTTGCCTAGCATGCTTGAGGACTGGGGTCAGACCCTGGGCACTACAAAAAAACAAAAATAAAAATAATATGTTCCCGATCCAAATCTCAAGGGGTGAATATTTATTCACCCCTTGCGCTTCACTACTTATTTTGTTTCTTATATAGCTTTAGCGTTGCTTTATGTATTTTTTTTTTTTTTTGTATTTTTGAGACAGGATCTTGCTATGCAGCTCAGGCTGGCCTTGAGCTCACTTTGTAGCCCAGGCTGGCCTCTAACTCACAAGGATCCTCCTGCCTCAGCCTTCCAAGTGCTGGGATTATAGGCGTGCACCACCATGCCCAGTGTGTTTCTTTATGTAAATACAAGTACATATAAAAATATTTTTATTTTCCCCTTTTTGTTACACTATATGCATTGTTCTGCATTTTTTAAAAATTTAGCTTATGTTGGAGGTCTTTCTATATTCCTATACAAAGAGCTTCCTTGTTCTGTTTTTTGATAGCTACACAGTATCCCATCACCTGGTTGTGTAATAGTGTCTATACCCAGCCCTCTGTTGATGGACACTTATGTTACCTCCTGTCTCCTACCCCACCTCACCCGAATTCTGGGATTGAACCCAACACCTTAGCACTAAGCTATAGCCCCAGCCCTTTTAAAATTTTATATTTTGAGACAAAGTCTTGCTAAATGGCCCAGGCTGGGCTCGAACCTGCTTCAGCCTTCCAGAGTGCTGGGATTAGAAGCATGCACCACCACGTTTGGTTTGTTTCCAAGTTTTTGCCATTACAAGTGCTGCGGTGAATGCCTTTATTCATACATCACTTCCCCCTTTGGCAGCTATACCAAGATTAATTCCCAGAAAGGGATTATAGGATAAAAGCATGCATAGTTTGCTAGATATTGTCAAACTGATCCCTGTAAAAGCAGTACCAATTTTCATTCCTACCATCAAATACAGGACTTTGGCCAACCTAATATATAAAGACTTGTTCACAAATTAATAATCAAAGATGGTTTAAGCAACAGTCACCAGTACATTTATAGGTCTTGTTTAAAAAGACCTTTAGTATCCATTACGTTAAAAAAATAGCTAATATTTCTTGAGCATTTAAAATATGTTAGAGATTCTGTTTTATAAACAAGGTTTCACTATGTAGTTCAGGCTGGCCTTGAACTCACTATGTACCTTAAGTTTGCAGGGATCCTCCTGCCTCAGCCTCCTGAATGCTGGGATTACAGGCCTGTATCACTACCCTCAGACATTATAGATTCATAGTTAAAAGCAGCTTTAAGCCAGATGACTGAATCTGAAATTTGTCTCCTATATTTCCTCATCTGTAAAACAAGGATTACAGCAGCAACTTATGTGGGTAGGCAGCGTTACCCAAATGCGGCAAAGTGCCCAAAACAGTATATGGCGCTTATGAAGAGACCGTAAATGCTTTTGCTATTATTGTAGAACGTTTCTATCAGGCAGGTTGTATTGTTCTCATTTGATCCACGAGCAGACTGAGTACAGAGGGATCGGTGGTAGCCCAGGGTTTTGATATTGGTATACTCGACATGGTCTAACCTGAGCTTGTTGGACTCTCGGATGTTCAGCCAGCATCACTGCGCTGTACTGAGTGGTGTGCTGAGCAGTGCTGTAAATGTTAAGAACGGTCGAGGATGTGAGTGGGAGGAAGCACATAAGTATATGTATGCGCAGGGCTGACTTCATGGCAAGGTGTCATGCGCTGGTTTGAAAGAAATGAATTTGGAGGGTGCCTTGTGAGACAGAGTCTCACTGTGCAGTTGAGGCTATCCTTGAACTCACTACATAGCACAGGTGAGCCTCAAACTCTCAGTGATCCTCCTGCCTCAGCCTCCTGAGTGCTGTGATTACAGGTATACGGCATCATACCTGGCAAAATTAATGATTTGTAAATAAGAGACCCCTCAATTTTATTTTACGCTGGGCATTAAAAATTATATAGTCAAACTGGGTGTGGTGGAGCATGCCTGTAATCCCAGCACTCAGGAAGCTGAGGCAGGAGGACTGTTGTGAGTTTGAGACCAGCCTGGGCTACAAAGTGAGCTCAAGGCCAGCCTGGACTGCATAGTTAGACCTTGTCTCAAAAACAAAAAACAAACCAAAAAACCCCCAACAAATTATATAGTCAATCCTGTGACATATGTCATATGTGTATTATAATGTTCATTGATATATGCAGCCTGCAGTTTACAAATAATAATATATATAATACTCTTTATTGTAAATAGAATTTCATGGAGCTGATTCTCGCAGTATGAGTTCCTATTGCGTCACCCCTATATGACTGCAGTTGACCAATGAGTGTAGCTCAGACCCAAATGTTGGTTGCTCTTTTCTTTTATGTCAATCAAGAGCAAAATGAAACGGTCAAGGGTATATGGGGACTGCACTAGTTTGTTAATGCCATGAACAACAAACTTGCTGAACTGGATAGTAATTTTCCAACACTGGAAGAAGGATTCCTGCAAATGTTTGGTGCTGTTCACGATGTACAGAGCGGATGCATTCGACAGGGTTAGTTTCATCTGCATTGTTAACATTTTCTCTGCCTCTGTGTCAACTGGAGACAACCCTAGAGCATTTGCTGATGTGCAGGCTGTGAATACTTCTTCCGTCACTGGCAGATTTCCAGCTATCATGAAAACTTAAGAAGCGAAGAGCACATCTTTGTGGAGTACAGACAGCCCCCAGATTTGAATGGTTGAATTTATGATTTTTTAACTTTATTTTGGTGCACAACCCACACAGCTCTTCTGTTCTTCACTTTCACTGCACTGTAAGTTACATGAGCCATTCAACACTTATGATAAGATAGGCATTGTCCTACTTGCTCTGAGCACGTTTAAGACAGGCAAGGCTAAACTCAGGAGGCTACATATATTAATGCATTTCGATGTACAATATTTTCCTTGTGGGATGGACTTCTTGGGATAACCCCCCCAAAAGTCCAGCACAATCTGTATTTTCACAGGCAGATACAACAGACAAAATCGGAATAGTCTCTGCACACAGTTAGTTAGCAATAACTAACTGCTACAGGAATAATTAATAAATTCTAGCCGCTAGTGGGGGTGCATGTTGTAATTCCAGCACTCTGGAAAGCTGAGGCAGGAGGATAGGACGTTAGAGCCAAGCCTGGGCAACTTCGCAAGATCTTGTCTCAAAAATCATCATCATCATCATCATCATCATCATCATCATCTGGGCGTGGTGGTGCAGGCCTGTAATCCCAGCACTCAGGAGGCTGAGGCAGTAGGATCGCCATGAGTTCCAGGCCAACCTGGGTTACATAGGGAGTTACAGGCCAGCCTGAACTACATAGCGAGACCCTGTCTCAAAAACCAAAACAACAAAAAAGGGCTGGGGTGTAGCTCAGTGCCTATGCCTTGGGTCCAATCCTCGGTAGCATACACACACTCACACACACACACACACACACACACACACAATTATTGATAACCTTGTGTCTGGTAAATCGCAAAACGACCCGTCTTGGGGTCGTTCTTGGCATGCCAAATGAAGCTTTTGCCGGGCGTGGTGGCGCACGCCTATACACCCAGCACACTGAAGCAGGAAGATCGTTGCGAGTTCGAGACCCGCCTGGGCTACAAAGTGAGCTCAAGGCCAGCCTGAACTGCACAGCGAGACCCTGTCTCAAAAAGACAAAATAAACAAACAAACAAATAAACAAAGCTTTTTCCAAAAAGTCTCATAGAAATTACGCGGCGCCGAGGCTGAAGCGCCGGATCCCGGGGCGGGGCCCTGGATTTGACCACGCCCACCCAAGGCCCGCCCCTGCCCTTGCAGCCCCGCCCCTCCCGCGCGCCTGGCTGGGTCCGGCCCTGCAGTCTCCGCAGCCTGCGTTTCCGGGCGGCCTTCCGAGGCCGGTGCACAAGATGGCAGTGTGCCGGAGGCGGCCGAGCCTGAGCGCTGAGTTCTAGCGCGGGGCTGGGGCTGGAGACGGTTTGCATTTACCCACCCACCCAGGTGGCGGGCTGTGGGGGCGGCGCCGCCGGGCCTCTGGGGGTGTGAGGCCCGCTCGGTGCTGTGCCGGTCCCCCGCCTCCCCAGCCCTGTCCCGGGGTGCAGCCTGAGAGCGGTCCGGCCCGGCTGCCCCGCCTATCCTTGCCCCGGGGCGGCCGCAGTGACTCCCGTTTAGAATTGACTTTCGCCACGTGAGGGATCCATGGCTGCTTTGCAAGCGTCCGGGGAGAGGATTAACATCCAGGGGGCAGAGACAGCCAAGGTCGGTGACATGGATTCGCTGGGGAGCGACAGGCCGGAGCCGGACAGGCCTCCCCAGCGCTCCCGCAGGCAGAAATGCGCCTCCTACGTGCTGGCCCTGAGACCCTGGAGCTTCAGCGCCTCGCTCACCCCGGTAGCCCTGGGCAGCGCCTTGGCTTACCGATCCCAGGGCGTCCTGGATCCGAGGTTGTTGGTGGGCTGTGCCGTCGCTGTCCTGTCTGTGCACGGGGCCGGCAATTTGGTCAACACTTACTATGACTTTTCCAAGGGCATTGACCACAAGAAAAGCGATGACAGGACGCTGGTGGACCGCATCTTGGAGCCCCAGGACGTTGTCCGGTTCGGAGTCTTCCTCTACACCTTGGGCTGCATCTGCGCCGCTTGCCTGTACTACCTGTCCCCTCTGAAACTGGAGCACTTGGCTCTCATCTACTTTGGAGGACTGTCTAGCTCTTTTCTCTACACAGGAGGTAAGAACTGTCCCGTTTTCCTGCGCTGCGGGTCTCAGTTGCACATACAGGAAACTGCTACTTCGCTCTAGAATTGTAGAAATGTCAGAGGTTCTTTCGTAAGTTAGGCCGCTTCATCTGAAATCTGTGATGTGTAGTTAGTGGATGTTCTGAAAACAGAAAGTTGTAAACATACAGACTTGGTTATCCATGTTGGATAAGACTCAAATATATGTAGGGGCATTTTAAAAAAATCTAGTTTTCCTGTGTTGACCATACTTTCTAATACCATAGCTTCAGATTTTATTTTATTTATTTTGTCTTTTTTTGAGGCAGGGTCTCACTATGCAGCTCAGGCTGGCCTTGAACTCACTTTGTAGCTCGGGTTGGCCTCGAACTCGCAGTGATCCTCCTGCCTCAGCCTCCCGAGTGCTGGGATTACAGATGTGTGCCACCATGCTCTGTGTTGTAGCTATTAACTTTCAGCAAGTTTGCTAGGAGATGTATGTAGCCGCTGATTAAGGTGATGGGCAAGGGTTAATACCTACTTATTGAATACCTGCCATGTGTGAGGCATATTTCTGTGTGCATACAGCAGGCACAGATCTTGCCCTAGGCCTATAATCCCAGCATTTGGGAGGCTGAGGAAGGATTATGAGTCCAAGGCCAATTTGAGCAACACAGCAAAACTGTCTCAAAAAATAAAATAAAATGATGGCAAAAAGTATAGTATAGTAAATAAACTACTCACGTAGTCTTATTTTATTTTACTCTTACAAGACCGTCATATACTTGGCCCATCATTAACTGAAGTGTCCGTTATGCAGTATATAGCTATATTTAAGAGGAGGATGGTAATGGGAGGAAAATGTAGAGCAGAGAAGGGAGATGCAGATTACTGTTTGTGAGTAGTTTGGGCAGAGTAGGCCTTATAGAAAAGGTAATGTTTTGAACTGGACTGAAGGAGGTAAGAGATGATGGAGAAAGAGAATTCCAGGAAAAGGGAAGAGCAAGTGCCCCAGTGCCTTGGGGCAGAAATAGGCCCTCAAGAATATGGGGAAGAGCCGGGCATGGTGGCGCACACCTGTAATCCCAGCACTCAGGAGACTGAGGCAGGAGGATTGTTGTGAGTTCAAGACCAGCCTGGGCAGCAAAGTGAGCTCAAGGCCAGCCTGAACTGCATAGCGAGACCCTGTCTCAAAAAGACAAAAAAAAAAAAGAATATGGGGAAGAGTAAGGACTGCAGTGGGTGAGTGAGGAAGATGGTAAAGGGAAATACAATGAGAGAATAGATCTGGGTAGGAGAGGGAGCACACAGATGAGGTGGGCCTTGTAGGCCATTGGACTTCACTCTGAAGAGGAAGAAAAGTGGGATGTGACTTTACGTTTTAAACAAATCACTGGCTGAGGTTTGAGAATGGATAAAGGATAGAGGGCAAGGATAGGAGCAAGACGGCCAAGTCAGAGGCACTTCAGTAATCCAGGCAAGATGTTTGGTGGTGTGGATCAGGATGATGGTAGCAGGAGAGGTAAGGAGTCAGACTCTGAGTGCATCTGAAGGTCGACAGGGGTTGTGATGGGCTGGATGTGAGAGAGAGAGAGGCAGGGAGTAAACATAACCAAAAGTTTTGGTCTCAACAACTGGAAGAATACAATTGATGTCATAGTGTGAGATGGAGAAAGGTGAGGCTAGAATAGGGTTTGGGGGGAAATTAAGAGATTGATTTTGGACTTCTCAGTGTCTGTTAGAGCTCCAAGCAGAGGTGTCAGATGGTTACTTGGATATATACAGAAGCTGATTTTAGGAAAGAGGTCTGGGCTAGAGATACAGACACTTGAGAGCCATTGGTATATAGATAAAGCTATATAAGACTGCAGGAGATCTTTAGAGGAGGGAGTGTTGTTGGAAAAGTGAGAACCAGGACTGAGCCCTGCGCCTTCCAGCTCACGAGGTGGTAGACATGAGGAGGACCAGGTAAAGGGGGCTGTGAATGAGTATCCAGAGCAGTAGGAGGAAAGTCAAGAAACTGTAATTTTCAGGCAGCCAGCTGTAAATTTGGCACAGTTTAAAAGTTCAGTAGCTGTGCATGGTGGCTTACACCTCTAGTCCCATACTCAGGAGGCTGAGGCAGGAAAGTTGCCATGAGTTTGAGGCCAGCCTGAGCTACATCATGAATTCAAGGCCAGCCTGAACTATATAGTGAGACCTCGTTTTAAACCAAAAAAAAAAAACAGTTTTTAAAATAAAATAAATCAATAGAATAATAAAATATAAGGTAGTGGTAGTGAGGAAGCCATCTGTGTTAGCTTTTTGTTACTGTGACAAAATACCTTAGAGAATAAACTTAAAAGAAGAAAGGTTTATTTTAGCTCGCAGTTCTGGAGGTTTCAGATCATGGTCGATTGACTTGTGGCTTTTTGGACTTTGGCAAGACAGTAATCATGGTGGGGATGCATGGCAGAAAAAGTCTATCTCCTTCAGGGCTGGAAATGAAAGATTGAGAGGGAGGGGCTTTAAGGGCACCCCTCCCCTGGCAGTGACTGGAAGACTTCCTACTGGGCCCCACTTGTTGAAGATTCCACCACCTCCTAGTAATGTCATGAACTGGGAACTAAGCCTTTCACAGATGGGCCTTTGGAACACTTGCCCTAACTACAGCACCCTGTCTGTGCAGGTGACATTTGAACTAAGGCTTGAAGGATGGGGAGCCAGTCATGCGGTGGAATTGGAATCTCACTGTGGCGCTGAGTCCTTCGGGCTGAGCAAGTGCAGCTGTCCTGGGTGGGAGAGAGTTTGGCACTGTCCGGGGTCAAAAGGCCAGTGGTCCCGAGGGAGCATGGGATGCAGACTGAGAGGCAGGCAGCGGCTGGATCATTCTGATCAGCAGAGTCTTCTGCTGGCTCCTCCCTACTCCTCAGCCAATAGGGCTGCCCTTGGACCTCACTGCTATATCTCCCCTTATTCTCTGGGTGGTTTTAGCCAGTCGTGTGGCTTCAGATGCCATTTATTAAGTTGGCAGCCCTCTATCTCCAAACCTATTCAACTTCTTTTTGGGGCGAGGGTGCTAGGGTTGGAGCCTGAGACCTGTGCATGTGGAGTGTGTGCTCCACCCCTGAGTTTTACCCTTATCCACCCTCCTACTCAGTAACTTCTAGAGGTTTCACAAGTATCTCAGGTTCAACCCAACTGAAATAAAATTCCTGATCCTCTGCCCCCACATTCCCTGCCCTGCTCCTAGCTTTTCCCGTTACTTTCTTTTTTTTTTTTTTTTTTTGAAACAGGGTCTCCCTGTGTAGTTCAGGCTGGCCTTGAGCTCCCTTTGTAGCCCAGGCTGGTCTTCAACTCCCAATGATCCTCCTGCCTCAGCTTCCCAAGTGCTGGGATTACAGGCATGTGCCACCATGCGCGGCTCCCCATTTCTTTCAATGATGGTGGTGGTGGTTGTGTTCATAGTGGTGGGGATCAGACTGAGAGCCTTGAGCCTGCTAGGCAAGCACTACTGCCGCTGATCTCCATCCCCGACCCTCTCAGTGGCAACTTCATCCTTATAGTTCTTTAGACCCAAAGTCATGGCATCCTCCTGGATTCTTCTCACATCTCATCCAGCTCCTCAGCACATCTTGTTTTCATTCAGAACACATTCGGGGCCTCCTGACTGCTTCTGTCTGGGACGCTCTTCCCCTATCTGGCTGTATGGTTTGCTCTGTAACTTCCTTTGCCCTTTGCTCAGATGTCACCTGCTTAGTGAGGCCTTGCTTTCTACCTTATGTAAAATTGCACACCTTCCCCACATGTCCCTCTACCCCAGGTCCCCTCCTCATTCCTTTTCTCTGTTTTATTTTCTACACAGCACATACTGCCCTCCAATGCACTTGCACCATATAATACACATATTTGGGCAGTCATTTTCCATGAGACTCTGAGCTCCCTGTGGTCAGGGATGTTTCATTGTTCTCAGCTGAACCCGTCGTGTTCAGTGCAGTGCCTAGTAGGTGGTGCTTAAGATACTCATCGAATTAACAAACAGGAAGACACTGAAAATGTTAAGCAGAGCAATGATATAATCAGATTTAGCTTTCACACGGATTCGTTTTGCCTGGTCTAGAACACTGTACAGATGGAATTGTTTGCTGTGCACCATATTTATTTCACTGTGGACGTGTATGTCTGGCTTCTTTTGCTCAGCATGATGTTTTCAAAATGCATCAAGTTGTTATGTGTGTCAGTAACTCCTTTTTACTGCTGAGTAGCACTCCTTTGATGAATGTATTGCATTTTATTCTCCTGTTCAGAGACCTGTGCATATTTTGGCTATTTCTCTTGGGTAAATGCCTAGAAATGGAGCTGTCAGGGCACAGGATAGGTGATATTTCATTTTATGAGGAGCTGCCAGACCATTTTTGGAAGTGGTTATACTATTTCACATTCCCACCAGCAATAAATGAGCATTCCAGTGGCTCCGCATTCTTGCCAACGTTTTGATTTATGTCTTCACAGATTAATTCTGGCTGCTGTGTGGACGAGAGGCTCAGTGTTGCACTGTACTGCCTCATTCAGAAAATGGTGTTGAAGGGTTGGTATGTCTGGAGGGAAACTCCTCTGTGGAATGGGGGAGAAAAAAAAAAAAAAAAAATATATATATATATATATATACACACACATATATGTATATACACACATATATGTGTATATATGTATAGTGTATATACGTATATATACATATATATGTGTATATATGTATATTTATATCTCGTGTATACACACATACGTATATATTTAAAAAAATTTTTTTTTGATACTGGGGATTGGACCCCAGGCTTTCCAACTGATCTACATCCCTGACCTTTTTTTGTTTTTTTTATGTTGAGGCAAGATCAAGCTAAGTTGTCCTGGCTGAGCTTTAACTTGAAGTCCTCCTACCTCAGCATTTCAAAATGCTAGGATTACAGCACCAAAAGAATGATAGAGCCCTTAGGGAGAGAGCTGTGTTCCACCCTGCCCTGTCAAGCCACGTTTGTTTTGTTTTGTTCTATTCTGACACAGGGTCTTGCTGTGTTGTTCAAATTGGCTTGAACTCACTGTGTAGCCCAGGCTGACCTTGAGCTCAAGATGATCCTCCTGCCTCGTCCTCCTGAGTGCTGGGATTACAGCATAGCCCACCGTTCAGGCTAGGCTGCATTTGTGAATTACTTAGCCAACAGCTCTGTCCTCAAGGGCTGTCATTTTTTTTTTTTTTTTTTGGTGCCAGGTAATCTCAAGAAAGTTATCAGATCTTTCTCTCCTTGAGTGGGTTTATGCTTGTTTTTTGCACAGGACCTATTTAAAGTGAGGATCTGCGTCTCTGCTCCACTTCACTGAAGGCAGTTTTTAAGGTGATGTGAAGAGAGGTTTTTGGAGAATGTAGGCAAAAGTCAGAGGTGTCTTGCTGTGTTTTCTTCCAAGCCAGAGCTCCGATGTTGGGGTATTAAGGAAATAAGAAAAAGAAGGGCAGCAGCTGGTGGGGAACTTGCGACAGCTGGCTGGGTGCATTCTGGCTGGAATCTTCACTGGACAGGGAGTCCCCTAAATGTGGGACGCATTGCAAGGGGTGTCAGTTTACTAATTCAGGCCTGGAGCTGGTGTCCACTTGGAGAGACTTCCTTCTGAAGGCATGTCCTCGGACAGCCAGGTTATGATGAGCAAGGGGCTCGAGGCACTGAACTAGCTCGAGGGTGTTTGGGGAGCACCAGAGGCCACGCCAGTGGTGTGCTTTCTGAGGATGCTTCTTTCTAAAGAAGCCAGTGTGGTCGTTTTGCTCCAATGAACCCAGCTGCTACTGTGAGGGTAAACCCAGCCTCATTCTTGGTCCTTGGCTCTGCAGACCGTTGTCTTTGGCCATTTTAGAGTGGTTAAGATGTGATTGGTCACCTGAGAGTTTTCTTTGTTTTTGGACAGTGAGGCACCTTGTGGATTGGTTAGACCCTAGATACCTCCTCTGGAGGCACCTCTCACCCATCCCATCTGCAAGCCAGCTGGTGGAGTTGCTGTCTTCTGGGCATCCAGTGACCCTGACTAGGACTTGGACTTGGGAGTGGCTTTGGGGAAGGAGGAGAGCAGACACGTTAGAGAGATGCGGGTTATACAGAGTTTGAAGTAGGGCAGCTGCAGGAGCTGTAGTCAGGGCTGGTTTCATCTGAACTTCATGAAAACCAGAGAGAGGAACCTGCATGATAATTTGCTGGCCTGGCTATTTTACTCATACGTGTGTGAAAATTTCTTTATGTGGGAGTTCAGGGTTTTCAAAAGCAGACGCCTCCGGAGAGTGTAGAGGAAGGGGTGGCTAGGGGGCTGGGTGGACACTCCATGGGGGGGGTGGATCTGACCGAGCCTTGCGACCCTTTAGTTCCTCTCGGCTACCAATAGCCAGTGGGCTTTGCTGCGGAACTTTGTTTGGGGTCCCAGTAGGCAGGCACAGGTGGGTGTGAACTCTGAAGGGGGCCTGGACTCTGAAACCTGACTGGATTTCTGTCAGTGCCGGTGTTGTTGGAGGCGAAGTCAGAGCGCTCTGGGGGACCAGATCAGCAGCCTGCTCCAGCCGGATGTGGCCCGTCCTTGCTGATGAGCAGCCCCTCTGTTTGCAGCCCTTGATCTCACACCCGCCTCTCTGGGTTTTCTGGTCGCAGGAATTGGATTCAAGTATGTGGCCCTGGGAGACCTCATCATCCTCATCACTTTCGGCCCTCTGGCCGTGATGTTCGCCTACGCTGTCCAGGTGGGGTCGCTGGCGATCTTCCCTCTGGTCTATGCCATCCCCCTGGCCCTCAGCACTGAGGCCATTCTCCATTCCAACAACACCAGGGACATAGAGTCCGACCGGGAGGCGGGCATCGTCACGCTGGCCATCCTCATCGGCCCCACCTTCTCCTACGTGCTCTACAACACGCTGCTCTTCCTGCCCTACCTGATCTTCAGCATCCTGGCCACGCACTGCAGCATCAGCCTGGCGCTGCCCCTGCTCACCATCCCCATGGCCTTCTCCCTTGAGAGGCAGTTCCGCAGCCAGGCCTTCAACAAGCTGCCCCAGAGGACGGCCAAGCTTAACCTCCTGCTGGGGCTTTTCTATGTGTTTGGCATCATCCTGGCCCCCACAGGAAGTCTGCCCAAACTCTGAGGGCACTGGCAGCTCCCTGCATAACAGCACCCCCCACCCCCGACCCCTAGACTGTGCTGAAGCCGGAGTTCCCGAAGAGGGAATGTGACTTGGTGGGGTGAGTCGTAAGTATGGACGTGAATCCTGCCTTTTTATATCATTATTATTATTATGTTCTTAAAAATAACCTGCTTTGTTTTTATTTTCCCATTTTATGGGGAATCTTGAACCACTCTACAAAACCGGAGGTAATTGGACACGTGAACCTTGTTTTATTTATAATTTCCACTAGAGGGTGTTGTCAGGTCACTTTAAAGTGGAGGGGACCGGGTTCCTGCTTGTTCCGGGCAGAGCGCTGTAAGGTGTCGTGGAGGAGCTGCCCGAGTTGGCCTCCTGTCCTGAAGGAGCCATAGCAGCGAGGTGCAGTGTCATCCTGATATCCTGGCCATGTAGGCAAAAGTTGTAATTGGTTCTAGGCCCCATTACCATGGGCAGCACCTGTCTCTTACGCAGCGCTGGCGTCCTGAAATATGCTGCTGGAGACAGAAAGTCCCTCATTAACAGCCTTGGGCAGCTCTCAGGGTTTTGCCTAAATTGTGATTCAGACACATTCGTCCTTCATCTCTTTGCCTATTGGCACAGTTGAATGTCAGATCGCCCTGCAGCAAGACGGGGCTGGGCAGAAGAAAAATCTCACCTTGGAGGCGGCTGAGAAAACCACTTGCTTTTGGGCAGAAATTAGCAGAGTAGCTATCTTCCACTTGTAGAATCTGCCAGCATGAGGGGAAGGGTTCCTAGCCCTTTCAGTAACTATCCGGAGCCCTGAAATTACAGAGGCACTGCTGTCCTCGCAGGCTACTAACAGTCCACAGGGCTTTTCCCTCCCAGCCACTGCTTCTAATACTCCCCTCTGCCACCCTGCACCTGTGTCCCTCTGTCCTGTCCCCGTGTGTGTTTCCTGCCCTGGAGCCAGCACCTGGGTCAGGGACCCTGCCCCTTTCCACAGAGCCGCAGAGTGGGCCGTACAGAAACCCGGGAAATGCACAAGCCAGTGGGCGACAGCCCTGCCAGTGGAGGAACCGTCTTCCTCCTTGGAGACCAAGTGCAATAGGGCTGCGCCCCTCCCTAGGCTGTGGCCTTGTGCAGACAGTGGAGAGCTTCAGTGAGGTCGTACCTGGAGGGGGCACAGCCTCGAGCGTGCTGCTTTTCATTGGAACTTCTGGGCTCCAGTGGCTCAGTTGCTTTTAGTCCAAGACTGAAATAGGTGGAGATGATCAGATAGTCATCCGTGTACTTCTCTGTTACGATTGGCCATTCTGGTGGGTGTTTTGAGGTCTTGGCCTACAGAACATGACGTAAGAACTCATTGTTAATCCTTTAAGTAATCGGGCTATTTAGGATTTGGCTCCTTGGGTTAGAATGGGTCAGTTTAACCTGGGAAAAACGTATTTGGAAATTGCAAAAATTCCTCTAAATTGGCATGATTTGTCTGCCAGACAGTGAGGCTCCGGGAACAGTATTCAGAGCCCTGAGGCCCAGGAAAGAAGGCCAGACCTCCTCTCCTGCCCTTCTTCTGGCACCATCTTTATTTCCTGCCAGGCTAGTGGCACTTTGGTGCTCATGGGGGTCCTGCCTCAGAGAAGCTGCTCTGGCTCTGCTGGGAGCTGGCCGCTGTCCCGTGAGGCTCACCTGGAGGCTAGGGGGCCTGGCTTCCCGTGTCCACTGACCAGGCCTGCCTCGAGGCTGCTCCTACCAGGATCTCCAGTCACCTGCCGCACGGGTCCCGTGCAGATTTTAATGCATATTTTTATATCTAAATTATTCCCAAAGGCCATCTTTGGTGCCAGGTTTTATATACAGGCCACTGTCATTTGTATTATATCCCCTGACTTCATGAAGATTTGCTGTAGACTTGGTAATTAAAAAAAAATCATCAGTTGTCTGATCTCCAGTTCTTTGCTTTCTTTCCTCTTATTGTCGGATTGTGAGCTGTGACGCATAGATCCCCAGGACACCAGGGCAAGGACACTGGGACGTGCTGGGTGGAGGCGCCTGACCTTGGGTGATGAACTGGGGAGAGTCTGGGTGGATTGAGAGGCCCTCAGGAAGGCAGCAGCGAGCACTTAGAGCCAGTCCGTGTCGGGCCACATAGACCTCTTTTCGTGCTTCCTCCCTTCATTTTCTTTCTTCTGATGGGGTCACTGTGTTGATAGATTGAGAACCAGGGCAGATTGAGTACGTCTGAGTCTCAGCTAGGCATTTGACAGCGTGTCCTTACAAGCAATGCAGAGATATGTGGCACGGATAGCGGGAGAGTTAGATAAATCCCTGGGAGATGAATGAGCTGCGAGAGAGTGACGACCAGCGTGTCAGCCCGCCCGGGAAGGAAGCCTCCGGCGACACGCACCAGCCCTGCCCTCTGCCCTTGGCGAAGCGAGATTCAACACCTGTTATTAAGGATGGGAATGAGGCAGCCTAGATTGCAGGCTTCGTGAACCTTGGAGGAAGAGCTTATAAAATGACTGGCAATTAGGATGCTCATAAGTCAGAAGGCTGCTTTGGTGGGTCAGAGGAAAAAACGACCATGAATAAACATAAAGCAATATACTTGGGTCCCCAAAACAGTGCGCCTTGAGAGGGGTGCTACTGATGGTATGACAGTTCACTTTCTTTTCTCTTTGTTTTTTGTTTTTCTTTTCTTTTTTTTTCTTCTTCTTCTTCTTTTTTTTTTTAAAGACAGGTTCTTGCTCTGTATCCCGGACTGGTCTTGAAGTCACAACCTTCTGTCAACCTCCCAGGTACTGGGATTACCAGCATGCACTACTACACTTGCTTATGTTCTTTCATTTCTTTTTCTTTTTTTTTTTTTGAGACAAGGTCTCACTATGTAGTGTAGGCTGGCCTTGGACTCACAGTGATCCTCCTGCTTCAGCCTCCCAAGTGCTGGGATTACAGGCATGGACCACTATGCCTGGCTGTTTCTTGAGTCAGATTTATTCTGCTTCTTTTTGAGGGGTCACTAGAAATGAAACTCTTGGGCCTCCTCCCGTCCCTGGAGGGTCACCCAGGACCTGGGCCTCTAGGGCCAGAGGCCAGGGATTTTGACTTGGCTCTTGCTCCTTGAGTTCATCACCTGGAATCCACCCTTGTCTTTGGCACTGCTGCCCTGGAAGGGTCCAGAATGCCCCTTCTTGCTGACAACGGCCGTGGGCCTGCAGGGCGTCTGTCCCTGCAACCTCATTCTTTTTGCTGTCAGTCCTAGTGAACTGTCTTTGCTCTGTGATCTCCCCCATCCACCTCTCCTATTTAAAGCATTACCTTTCTTCTCTATGCTTTGCTGTACCTTTGCACAGAATTCCACCCAGAGGACACTGGAAGCTCGCTGCTGGCCTCTTCATGACCCAGAGGGGAAAGAAGTCGTGAATATATCACACTGAGTTTTCGTCTTAATAACTTTTCAGTGACTCCTGTGCTAATACCAAAGCCTGTGTCTTCATCCGGCCCAAAACTCAGTTGGCGGCAGTACTGACCTTTCTGAAGGTTAATGTGATCTGCGGTGAATAGGAGATCCGTGTCCAGAACGAGGAGGGCGGAGCCCCACTCATCCCCGCGCGGGCTGGGAACGGGCTGGTCCTGGGCACCTGCTTTCTGCTTTTCCTTTTTCTAAAGCAAGTCAGTCTGGCGGTAGATCAAGAACACCCCATAGGTAGGATACACTCGGACTTCAGGAAGGCGTTTAACAATCTGATGGAATGTGGATTGGGTGAAGATACAATTAGAGGAGATTTATTTGTAGGCATGCGTGTGTGTCTGTGCATGTGTGTATGTTGCCCTGGGAACAGCTGTGGCGGAGATTTTACACTTCTCAGTGTGGGAACCACATTTGAAAGATATTATTAACAAACTGGATCTTGCCCAGAAAGCAGTTGGCAGACTGGCTAGGGCACATTAAACCATGTCTGTGTGGAAAGGAGACCCGCAAAAGAGCTATCTTGGGTAGAGAAGGACTGGGTTCCATGTGTGTGTGTGTGTGTGTGTGTGTGTGTGTGTGTGTGTTCAAAGAATAAAGTAGGAGCAATGGATAGAAGTTAGATGGGCTCAGGTTTAAGCGCTTGGGTCAGGAAGAACTTACACAACATCCCAGTGGGTGGTGAGTTCTAGTAACTAGAGGCATTCAAGCGAAAGGATGATTCCTTGTCAGGAGCACTGAAGTGAGCAGTAACATCAGAAAGGGCTTGGGTGAAAAGATCTTTAAGGGTCTTCCAGTGCTTCATACAGTTGCTCTGTTTGTTCTCAGACCTGCCCTTAGGGGATAGGAGGCAGAGTACCAGAGGCTTGTTGACATTCCTTCCCCTGGGTTTCAGGTTGCTATCTACTCATTTCAACAGGC